CCTGCTGTGTTCATCCAGCTCTACATCTTGTTATCGCAGATTCTCCAGCATCTGCAGTTCCTCCTATATCTTGATTTACATGTTTGTTGTGTACTCAAACTGACAAGATAATTACTTTAATTCACGAATATAATCTGCATCAGTCTCATTTGGCAACTGCATCCATTTATGGAATTCCGTGCTCAGTGCAACCATATTTTAGCCATGCTTTAATATGAGTCCAGATTCTCATTAATTTTAGCAGATTTGATCGCATATGGACGACACTGGTTAGATGCCATCTGAAATTTAACTAATGAGGAAAATAATTACTTTGTCCTCATTTTGCGTTTTATTTGATTCGAGCCAAATAACCATTCAAAGGTCATTGGATGATTACTTAGATAAAAATAATATGCAAGAGTATGGGGGAGAAAGCAGGAAATTGCCACCAAGTAATGGTGCTTATTTAATGAGCTGGTGCAGGCATGATGGGAGGAACGGCCTCCTGTGCTGTAACACCTCTGCGTTTCTGTAATAAAGTCCAACATTCTATTTACCTTCCTATTACCTACAAAACATGTATTCTTTTTTGTGATTCATAAATGAGGAATCCCAAATTCCTCTGTGCTGCAGCTTTCTACAGCCTTACTGAATTTAAATAATATTCAGCTCCTCTATTCTTCCTGTCAACATATATAACCTCAAGTTTTCCCACATTATACTCCATCTGCCAAGACTTTGTCCACTCGCTCACCCCATCTATATTCCTCTGTAGATTCTTTGTGTCATTGTCAAACTTGCTTTCCCATCTATTTTTGTGTTATCCTCAAAGTTGCCTTCCCAGCTGTTTTTGTGTCATCTGAAACCTTGACATTAGTACACTACTTTCGTCATCCAAGTCATTACTATATATTTTAAATAATTGCGATCCCTGTGGCACTCTGCTCGTTACAGGTTGCTGTCCTGAGAATACTGCTTTTATCCAAACTCTATGCCTTTTATTAGTTAGCCAATCCTCAATTAATGCTAATATACTGCTTTCAACACCATTGGCTTTTATCTTATTAAGTAGCCTGTTGCGAAGTTGGGTGGAATACTTGCGAATTGGAAGGTAGGATGTTAGCATTTGTTTGTAAAAGGGATAGTGGGGAAGAGTGCATAGTCCATTTAAGAGTAGATGTGCTTTTCTAAGCTTGGAGATTTTAAAAAAAGTCTGCAAGCAGCTGTAGATGTATAGACAATTCTGAAATTGAAACATATGTATCAATTGGCAGCGTGGTTGGCAACCTCGGCTTGTTTTGATGTTAAGGCAACCAGCTTGAATATCAGCAAATAATTTAAACCAGGCACTTAGAGACTGAAAACCAATTGAATTTAAATCTGATGGTGTTGACAACGTAAGGCCAATCCTATTATAAGAAAATTGACAGGTCATCAAGAAGAGGGTTTTTGAAAATCAGCCTGAGAGCAAACTGCCATTGGAAGAGTAAAAGTCTGGCTCTCACAGAAATCTTTAAGCTCCCTGATTAAGCACCGTCTAAAAGGTACCATGGTACTCTTAGCTAATATTCCCGACACAAGGATTCAACGAAGAAAGAATTCCTGACTGAAGAATATCGGAAAAGGCACGGAACATATCGAAAGACGCATCCTGGCTGTAGTTTTGAGATTCTCAGTTTTAATTTATTTTTTCTTATTACGTTGGTTTATATAAATGGGACTTGTAAATATTGGAGCAGCATACCATTAGAATTTTATTTTATTCTGGAATAGTTAGTAGTTAGAATGGAATTGTTCAGTTTGTTAGTAGTGCAGTTAATTTGATCACTGTTGGAATTCGATTAAATAAATTGTTACTTGTTACTTATAAAGTCAGTATCAGGGAGTTCATTTCATTTAACCATCCCCTCAGTAACAAGCCTTACTTGCAAGATCTCATTGAATGATTTTTGGAAATTCAAATGCATTACACCTGGTGATTTCCCTTCACCTATCCTGCTTGTTACCTTCTCAACGAATTCTAAAAATTGTCAAGCATGATTTCCCCTTCATAAAGCCACAGTGTTTTGGATGAACTCAAATTTATGGAAGTTGAACGCCTGGACTGGAGGCCAATGGAATAGTCAAGTCCACAGGTAACAAAGGCAGTTACGAGAATCTCAGCAACTGATGTGCTGAGGTGGGGGAGAAGGAAGAATGTTATGGAGAAGGACAAACATGTACTTGTGTTGGAACTGATATGGTCTGGTAAGTTCAACTCCCAAAAGTAAAAGGATGATTGCTGATGGAGAGAGATCAGTTGCCCATATGCTTTACTGGAGCAACATTTCTATAAGTTTCACGGAAAACTTCAATTTTAAATGCAACCTTAAAAGCAATTTTGAAGTCTTTTTCTACATTTCTGTATTTGTTTTCCTCAGTTTGTCACCTTGCAACTCTGATGGGAGCCACAAGTCATGATTTTGCTTGCTTAAGTAAACAATTGAAAAGTATGTTAGTTCTGTCACTGGAACTAGCTTCAAATTAGCTGAAATATTTGATGATGGTGGAATGTGCCCTGCTACTCCAATGTATGTTTTTTTTTTCCAAAGGCCAGTAATGGGGATTGGAGCAAACTCTGTACGCCACAGTCTTGTATCTTATCATATTTTAACAGACTGTTTCTATTTTTTAATTCATGACAGAGCAGTGGAAAAAGCTCAGTACTGGAGAGTCTGGTGGGTAAGGACTTGCTCCCCAGAGGTACCGGTATTGTCACTCGAAGGCCATTAATACTGCAGCTAGTGAATGTTTCCCCTGAGGAGCAGCGGAAAGGAGCAGGAGATGATGATGGTATATCTTTTAAAATTTACGTTGTAATAATTTACATAAAATTTGTCGTGCAGACTTTGAGGACAGAAATGCGAGAATAATGATGCTGACTTCATATGATTGAAACTCAGCAGAATACAAACTCTTAACAGTTCAAAACCTCATCTGATAGTTTGGCTCCAGTTTTCTCTATGTGACTGAGTTTGGAAACTAAACTGCTCAGAAATCCAAAATGTATTCTAATACTGATATCCTACTGTACTTGCATGCCATAAACATCATCTCTCTTCCAATGCAAGTAATGCTGTTAAAAATCTGCATATTAATTCAAATTCTGTTCATGACCACATTTGTTTGAAATTGGATCCAAGTCTTTAAAGTTAGGTATATTTTTAAAAGTATTTCTATTGTGTGACTAAACAGTTTGGGCCCATTATCAGTCAAGAAATAAGTCCCTTTTGAGAAATTCTGTGGTGAACAGAATAGTCATACTACCATTTACACTAGCTTCTGCACCTATTCTGCTTTTATGTTCAGAATGATGTGATTAATAGCAACCAGATAAGAAACCCTGTTGCAGCTGTGATTAGATCATTCAGCAAAGACTGGAAACTGAACTTGAGACAAATCAAAGGATAAGAGATAACAAGGTGTAGAGCTGGATGAACACAGCAGGCCAAGCAGCATCAAAGGAGCAGGAAGGCTGAGGTTTCGGGCCTAGACCCTTCTTCATCAAAGGATGTTTGTTTGATGTAATCTTCATGCCTCACAAGTGCCAGGCAGTGGTTATTTCCAGTAAAAGAGAATCTAACCGTTACCTCATCGATGTTCAATGAAATTACAATTGCTAAATTCTTCAATATAAACACCTGGGGGAGAGGTTATCATTGACCAGAAACTGAACTGGACCAGCCATATAAATACAGTTGCTATAAGCACAAGTCAGAGGCTAGGAATTCAGTGGTGAACTCACCACCTGTCTCCTCAATGCCTGCCCATTACCTGCAAGATACAAGTCATGAATGTGATGGAATACTCTCCACTTGCCTGGATGGGTTGCCTGCAGCAGTACTCAAAATGCTCATCACCTTAAATATTGACTCTCTTCACCACTGTTGCACAGTGGCAATGGTATATAACATTTACAAGATGCACTTCAGTAACACACCAAAGCTCCTTCAACAGAATCTTCTAAATCTGTGACCTTAACACATGCAAGGACAATGGTAGCAGATGCATGGGAGCAGCACTCCCTGCAAATTCTCTTCCACATCACATCCCATCACGAATTGGACTTATTTCCTTCACTATTGCACTATCAAAATCTAGCAATAGTCTCCCTAACAGCACTGTGGGTACTGTTACATCCCATGATTTGCAGAGGTTCAAAAAAAACCAGCTTACCACCACCTTCTCCAAGGCAATGGGATGGGCAGTAAACACCGTCCTAGTCAGCAATTCCTACATCCAATGAATGAATAAAAATAATCTATCCAGGAATATGATCCAGACTTATCCCAAAGACATTTGGTGAATTAGAAAATAGTGTGACTATTCTGTTCGCTGTAGAATTTCTCGAAAGTGATTTATTCCTTTACTGATAATGTGCCTTTTACTAGATTCACAATATCTTTTATTTTTCCCTTCATCTACCTGTGAAAGCTAGGAACTTGGGATGCAGCATGCTGTTGACTTCAAAGCAGGTGAACCAGGTTATAAATCAGGAAGGAATACTGTTGAGGTATTAACAAGCTGTAGGATTTCAAAGGCTCCCTGATTTTTCACAAAATATGACATCTTAAATTTCTTCATTTTACATTATGACTTGAAACATGATTTTATGGGGTAGTTTTTTATTTTCAGGACTTTAGTTCAAACACACCATTTATTGTTTCAAAGTCTTGATATGTGACTAATATCAAAATTGATTCCAAACTATCCAATGCTTCTTGAACCCCAGTTATTTTTCTGACTTCCCTTATTTTCAATCATGATCATTGTTACTCATTTCCTATTCATGACATCTCCTCTCCTCCTTTCCTGCCTAACCCCACACACACCAGCACGATTCAGAATTTCAGTTGTTATGTAATCAGCTGCTGATGCATAAGAATGAATTATTTATATGGCAAACACAAATCTGTGGAGTCAAACATTGCCTCCTCATTTGATGGCTTTAAGGTCATTAGTCCACCTCTTAGTCTGTAGAGTGGACACTCTTGGTAGCGTACAACATTATTTGCGTCTCTCCAAGTGTCCACGCGGCTCTGTACGAGGCTCCAGTTGTAGAACGTTGGCTGCACAAAACCCCAGTCTTCTATTGAACCCACTTAACAAGGACCATTTTTGCTGTGGTAGTTCAAAGCCTGCCATTTGACAGTTGGGGTTTGTCACAAGGAACCCAAGGAAATGCATTTGGAGAGGACTAACCACACAAGGGATTTCACTATAACTTTGTAGAATCCTGACAATCGCAAGTTCTATGTAAATGCAAGTTGTCACCATCGATTAGTCATGCCCATTTGGGTGGGATACTCTTCGGAGGGTTAGTGCAGACTCAAAGGGCCAAATGGCCTGTGCCCACAATTTAGGGATTCTATGAATTCTTGACAAATAATAAAAGTATTTCAGGTAAAACTTTAGCTGTTTAAATCTTGTTTTACTCTTACAATGTGTGAATAATATCTGTTGTATCTATTTTTCATTTTGCATGAACAAGAAAGTATTTAATGAAATAAGCATTTTCTAAGCAGACGCCCATTTAACATTTCTGCTGTTTCTCTAACTACAGACACAGCCATGTGGAAAAATTATGGCCAGCTTCACAAAGGTTTCCGCTTCCTTTGTTTACCTGTTTCTGTGCATCATGTCTGTTCTTTGCATGGCTTTGGATCATTTTTAGTTTTACAGCACTAAAGGATAACCATTTGGCATTTGAATTACATAAAAACCTATTTATGTTTTTTTGTTGTTGATATGAATATTTTAATGTGGGGCTTCTCCATGCAGGAGAGTATTAAGGCACAGGTTCTAGGCTCTTGTTTCAAAATGAGAATTTACATGACACCCCCACTCCCACAGTAGAGGTGGTCCCCAGTGATCACTGGAAATTTTATCATAGGGTGAGTAAATGGTGCAGCTCCTAATAGACAGCTTTGGAGGAAGCCTGAGTGTAAATTATGCTGCATATATGTAGGCACAAATCAAAAGAGATAAATGATTGGTTTAACATTTTGTGCATTTGAGCAGAGGAACGCTTTTTTTTTAAGGACTTAGAATATGTTAGTGACAGCCCCAGTTAGCTGTAACATTTACGGTAACAATGTTTTTAAGAAGCACTTTGAAAAGTATAATGAAGATTTTGCAAGGATGATATGAGAACCGCAAGAGAACAAATGTTAGGAAAGGCTGAGCAGGCTGGTCCCTTGAAAAGATGACCCGAACAGGCGACAGGAGTGATAATGGAGGGATTTGGGAGAAAAGCTCTTTCCATTGTGGAGAAATTGTAAACACGGTACTGTAAAGATAGTTGCTAATAATGCAGGAGAGATTTCTGTGTGGTTCGGGGAAAGTGGAATTTCCTCAGCCATTGTGGCTGAGGTGAAAACCATCAATACATTTCAAGGAAAGTTAGGTTAGTATACAAGAGAAAAAGGAATAAAAAGATAGATTAATAAAGTGAGATGCGTTAAGATGGGAGGAATTTCATGAAACAAATAAACATTAACATAGACTAGTTGGGCAAAATTGGCTGAACTATAAAGTTCAGTGTAATTCAATGTGCCTGATTTCATTTGAATACTTTTAAAATGATGGTTATGATCAACTCACATCAGTGGACTCAAGGACTCAGCCAGCACTTCACAATCAGCTAATGATGCTTGATGAACAGGAGCTTAATCCCCACAGTCTACTGTCCACTTAAATCCTTCATAAAGAGCACCTATGAAGATATTTTGGGTTTCTTGACCAGGTAATATCAAAACTGATTTGGTGAGAATGACCAGGAGCTAATAAATCACAATGCCGAGGTCCAACATAATTCCCCGCTGAAGGAACGAAAGCCTTGCCAGCTATGACATGCGTGGAGTCTTCAGCATGGTCAAGACCATCAATGCCCCAAGCATTTAAGGATCTGTCCTTAGTAAGAACTAAGAGCATGGTGACGCTCAAGGACAGAGAAACAGCTCTCATTGGAGGGGGCAATTTGAGGATTTCTTCAACTGAGACTCTGTCCTCAGTGTGAGTGCCTTTGACCAAATCCCACAGCATTCTATCCACCACCATCTCAGCAGAACCTCAGCCTGAAATAAGATTGGAAAGATCATCTTACAACTGAGAATTCATGAGATTGCTGGCTGCAGACTCAGTGGGCTGTGGGGCCCACCTCTGCTCCTTTATCTTATGGCAAATACAATTCCTGCAGAAGTGCTAAAATATGGTAGAGAAGCCCTCTTGGCAAGAATATATGGATTCATTGCTGTCTTTTGGAAGTAGGAGAACATGGCAGGGAAACTTCAAGATGCCTTTATTGTGACTATTTCAAGAAAGGCTGCAAGTTCAGTTGTGGTAATTAGAGACATGTCCCTGCTGTCTAACACAGGCAAGGTCATTGCAAGATTCCTCCTCAATTGCTTCCACGCTGTGGCTGAAAAGCTCCTATTAGGTCACGGCACATTCTGTCCATCAACAGGCACAAGTGGACATGATTTTTCAGAGAAAGGCAAGGCCAAGAAAAATGCAGAAAGCAACAAAACCTCTATATATGGCCTCCTTTGACGTCACAAGGATGTTCAACTCTCTAACTATTCTCCTATTGATACTCCACACTAAGAGCAATGGAGAGATTATGAAGGATGAAGAAGGAAATGCACACAGTTAATATGGAAAAACAATGATCTAGGGTAGTGTCTGCATGAGACTTGAAATGTAACTGAGGGTTGATCTAAGAATGGCTATTGGCTTTTTGTTACAGCGAGGTGAAATCCTCAGGAAAAGGTCATTTGGCCTGGAATGTAACTGATGTGGGTTTGAGTGAATGATAAAATTCCTGTCCATGGAGTGTAGGGCCCACAAGCCATTGGCCCATCTCAGGACATTGCATTGTCTTTGAGTTGTTAAGGCTGTTTATTCTCGGTGCATCATGTCTTGAGAGCCCATTCGTTTAAGGGATTGTGCATTACAGGTCTCATGATCACTGTCTTCCGTACATGGAAAAATATAAGGAATGCTGATGTTGAGCATTTTTTTGAATGAAGAGGCTGCCCTCTCCAGAAATTCATGACTCAAAAGTGAAGGGCTATTTATTTTTGTTTAGTGTGGGTGGCTCCTGTTTTGGGCTAAATATGAGGTTAGTAGAATTTGTCCTACTTAGTCTAAAGTTTAGTTTGCTTTGAGCAGATGAAGCTTGGCTTTTAAAGAACAGCTAATTATTTCCATCCTGCCTGTAGGTGTGCCAGATTTGTTTCCTGTGTAATTGAATGATTGAATCCGACAGTAACATCATTTTGGAAAAAAAACATAATGAGAGATTGTTACATGCAAGCTGAATTTTTTTGCTGAGCAAATGTTGAACTTCAAAAGTTCTGCAAATGAAATGTTGAACTTATTTTCTGAAGATCATTTCGAAGCTTTAGCTGTTAGATGCTAGCTTTTTGAAGGTCACTAATTGAAGCTTTTGGCTGTAAAAACACGAGCTGTTTACAAAACTGAGAACAAGTTTTCCATTAGTTTTCAGAATGTTCTGAAGTTTATTTACAGAGTTGGGTCTCAACAATATTGCAAACTTTTCATTGCTTTTGCCACGTAGCTATGGTCAGCAAAGAAGGGGAGAATCTGGTGAAGCACAGAGAAATTGAAGCTGGCCTTCTTGCATTTCTTTTGGGAATGACTTCAGCAAATATGAGTTGTCCCTGCTGATGTTGCTTAGTTTCACTGAATTATAGCTGATGACTGCCCGATCTCTTGAACCACCATCAAGGCTTTGATCTGACCAGGGCAGCATTACATTATCTTAGTGAGAATGATGAGAATTTTGAAGGTGGCAGGATTGCTCTTGATTCCACTCTAGTATCCTATCTCAAGATGCTTTCTTCCATTAAGTATTTTATTAGATTACTTATCCTGTGATGACTCATTTGACTGAACAGTGATAGATATTCTGGCTTGAAGCATCAATCAGGTGATCCATTCTTGAAGATAATAACAGTCCAAAATAACAGGTTTGATAAAAATAACTAGTTTTGAAATTATTGGATTTATTATATGTTTTTCTGTTATCTGCATAACTACATGTATTTAAAACAATTTGGGAGTGCTTGCAAAGTTTTACGAGATACATTTCCTTATTGGTAGAATGCACAACATTATAGTTTGGTTCTGCTAATATGGTTGCTAGTTTTTGCATATGCTGGTAGTGGTTATGCTGCAGAGGCAGGTATATTCTATAACGTTGATTTCCCGAATACTTTGCTAATTTTTATAAATGCATCAGGATTCAAGATTTCAACAGACTTTAATATGAGACTTGTATTACCTTAGTCTAGCAGTAAGACATAGAGACTGTGAATTAAGTTTACGCAATGCTAGAAGATAATGTAGTAACTACATATTATAACATGATTCAAATAACCTAAATATTGGTTCGGTTAAAAGACTGTTTGTTTGTTTGTTTGTTTAACTCATCAGTTGATTCTATATGGTAGTGAAGGACTTGTGTAGGAAATGGATTGGGAGAAAATATTGATAAAAGTGGCAAATGAATCTCTCAACTTGTAATGGATGGAATAGAACCTAGCTCATTGACAGCTGTAATAAAGGTTCTCTTGGAGTATAGTTATATCTCATTTGGTAATAGAGCTGATATTCCATTCATTCATAGCGCGGAAAATAAGTTGTGTATCTGCCAGCTTAAAAAAATGATTAGATTTTTTTGGGATCTATTTTGTCATTTTTTAAAAAAAAATGTAGTTGCATTTCCCCATTATAATTTGCTCATCTTTATTTTAAATTTTTCTTGTTGACTTAAAAAAAGCATATCCAGTTGATGTTTATATTTTAACTTTTTACCTTTGTTTAAAGGAATTGATGCAGAAGAATGGGGAAAGTTTCTTCACACAAAACACAAGGTATGCACATTGTTCACTATTAGGTTATTTCATATTGGAAAGGTTTAAGGCATACGAGCATAAAAGGTAGACCCAAAATCTGAAACTAGGTAATATATCAAATAGGAATTGTAAAGTTTCACTCTACTACTACCATCAAGCCAAGAAATGAACCTTGGTACAAAGAAGAGTGCAGGAGGGCATGCCATGTGTAGTAGCAGGCATACCTAAAAATGAAGTGTCAATCTGGTGGAGCTACACAACAGGAGTACTTGCATGCCAAACAGCATTAGCAGCAAGTGATACACAGTGCTAAGCAAATCCATAACCAATGAATCAGATCTAAGCTTTGCAGTCTTGCCACATCCAATCATGAATGATGGTGGAAATTGATCAACTCACTGGATGAGGAGTCTCCACAAATACCTCAATCTTCACTGATGGGGGAGCCCAGAACATCAGTACAAAAAACAAAACTGAAGCATTTTAGCTTCGGTTAGAAGTGCTGAGTGAATGATCTATCTTGGCCTCCTCCAGAGGTCAGAAGTCACATGACACCAGGTTATAGTCCAGTAGGGTTTATTTGAAATCACAAGCTTTCGGAGTGCAGCCCCTTCGTCGGGTGCAGTG